TTTTCTGATTCTTTGTACTTTTATGGCACCTTTTCTAGAACTTCCTGTCTTTGAAATCATTGTTTATTTTTTCTTTTCACTTATTTAGTTGACCTAAAACTAAGTTTATCATTTTCCCTTTCCAGTTTGTGCATTCTTTTGATTCATGGTACAACCATTCATCTTGTCATCCAGAAGATGACTTCTCAAAGCATTTCTTGCAAAAACACAGCCTGTTTTAAATTCATTGTGAACCATCACATTGCCCTACTGCCACAAATAGCATGTGACCCCATTATACAAGCCATTGAAAAGTCAGCAACAAACCGGTCCATTTTCTTTTCATCCAAATAAGTCTGCTGATTATGAACTTGAATGCTAATAGTACTGTAAGAATGCTGTCAAAATTTCTAATTATTTACTCTTAATTTCTGTACTTAGCATCTGAATAGTAACAAACTGTTCACAGATCAGCCTAGTTTGCATACCACACTTGGAGTAGTGCTAGATCAAAGTATACTGGACTCTCTTTTTCTAATGCTTCTTTGCTTTTAAGTAAACTATATTGAATGAGTATCATATATTTTTATTAATTAATTGTAAAAGTTTTCTTGGTATATATTTCACATATACGATTTAATCTGTCAATCATAATAAGTTTTGTGCAATAATCACCGTACTCACTTTCAAATATTTTCTTTTTTGTCCATATTTTTACTGCAATTTAATTTCATTTTTAATGAAAAATTTTAATTGAACAGTTTTATTGGTATATTGGTTATATTGGCACCAATTGCACAATTCAATAGTTCAATCATCTTAAGACGAGTTGTACAATCATCACCATAGTCAATTTAGAACATTTTCTTTTTTCTTGTGTTCATTGTTATTAGATCCCAATTTCACCCCTACCTCATTTGCCATACTCTCAAAGAAGCATCAATTCTATCATAGATTTCATATTTGGAAAAACGTAAAAAAACAAACTAACAAGAGTAATAATGAAAAAAGAAAAAATAGTCAATTTGGTAAAAAAGCAAAAAATATTTAAAAGTATAACAAATTTCAAATGGGTTAAAAGGGAGATTAAATGACAAAATGCCAACTTTTTGTATTAATTTTTAAAATTAAAACATCCCTTGGAGTTATAATAACAAAATCATTTTTTTCTAAGTCCTGCTTACATGTATCATGACTACCTATAAGGCTAAATAAACATCTATGATCATTTGTTTTTGAACCTTCTATGCACTCTAGTCAGGGTTGTGACTATTACCTAATTACAGTGATGTTTCAAATAACATGGTTTCAGCAGCACATGCTACAAGCACAATGCCAAATTTTAATCTAATTGCTTATGCAATAATCCACTTTCCAATGCACTGTGCATGATAGCAAGTCTATTCAAACCCCTGTTCTGTGGTGACAGGGAATTTACCAGAAGCTTAATCCATGTGGATTTCCCCTTCACTTTTTTTTTAACTGAAACAACTTTAGAATGGGTTAAAAGGGAGATAAAATGACAAGATATTACATTTTAACTTAAGTTCTTCTGCCATAATTGTCTTTACAATGCTCTCTGTCTGATAGCAAGGCTATTCATATCCCTCAACTATGGTCAGAGCTTAATCCATATGGGGACTCTGCAAATGGATTTTGAGCTTCCACTGTCTTCCATAGTCTTCTGCAAACTAGCTGTTTACAATTTAAGCTCTGATATGATTCTCTTCTTTGGATTCAGATTTTATTAATTACAATTCTTGGATCACAGAGACTAGTGTGTTTCTTCCAAATGGACTTAGTTAACACCTCACTTAAGATCGCTTCTTGTTTGAAGACAAGCCTTCAATCTCAAATGCTATTCTTTCTGATAGGCGGGCACCACCTAATTTCTTCACCATACTTCACTATGGCACTCAAATATTTAGTGATCTGTTCATGAGGTGAACGTTATATATATTTTCACATGTATGCCTCCTTCTGTACTTTCTTTTACATCTATCTTAATTCTGTCTTCTATCTCCTCTTAGTTGATTGATATATCTATATCTATATATATAAACTTTCTACTTACTTATTTCTAGTTTTTCCCTGTGGGGAAAAGCACTGTGGCACTAAAACAGTCTGTGTGAATATTTCTATTCACTGGCCTCTACTAGGCACTCAGGGTCTGTGGGACTACTTATGAAAACTTGTAAGAGAATTATTGGCCTGTTATTTACAGTCAGTGTTAGCAAGCAGCTGCAAGTTGTCCATGTTCTCTAATCCTTTTTGGTTATGGTTGTGAGAGTTAAGTTGAGATATTAGAGTCACCACGAAAAGAAAAAACTGGACATCAAAGTCATGTGAGAAGTAAACTTATTGAGTTCAATCAATGAAATAAAATATCTAGTTAATTTGATATGTAGTTTGAATTAGCAAGTCCTAATCAAATCCTGTGTTCCACATCACCATACAAATGCTCCATGAAAATATTTCTAACCTTGACACTTTCATATTTAATACATTTTACTGTGTTCTCATTATTTATATAATACAGTACAAAATATGCTTACACATGACATGATCCATGTGAAGCCTATCTCTCTACACTGCTTTTTAGTCATTCCACATAAAAATTGTCTCCTGTGTATTAAAATATTTGGTTTTTTATGTCTAAGTCCCCCTCCATATGCTGTTTTTATTTTTCTGAGATGTCTTTTCCTCACTCAATTCTGTCTAACCAGACTGTTTGTTATTCAATGAGAACCTTTTCAGTGGTCATTATCAACTTCCTGTGACCAATGCTCAGCAGAGGGAATTAATTTTGTTGTTGTTGTTCAGCTATTCTTCCTAGCAAGATTGGTATTATTCATAGTTGACTATGCTTGTAATTTTCTTATTACCTACCATATTGGAAGACACTATATATTCTCCAATTAAAATCTGTTCAAATACAAAGGAGGCTATAAATTATTAGGAACTATATACAATAATATTAGTATGAAAAGTATAATCAGCCTCTCAGATATTTTAATATAATAAGCTATATATATAGGAATTATTACATGAGGAAATTACAGAGAAGATTACAGTATTTTATGATATAGAAGATTTCTTTGACATTTGTAACTAGAGATTACCTACACAAAACAAATCAAGCAAACTCCCCGCTCATAGTGATCCTATAGGACAGGCGAGACCTCCCCCTTTGGTTTCTGAAACAGTCAGGGGTAGAAGCCTCATGTTTCTCCATGGAGTGGCTGGTGATTTCAAACTGTTGACCCAGAAATTAGTGAACACCACAGATAAGTTATGTGTAACCGAGCAGAACATAAAGCCTTTGAACAATTGTGGAGTTATGATCCATAACTCCTAATCTTTCAAATTATTGTTCTTTAGAATGAAGTTCTGAAAGTGAAAGTATAACCAGTTCATTCTGTTTTGCCAAAGGACAGTTGAATCTTCTGCAGAATATCTAAGCATGATTTCCTGCCACATAATATTTACCCTACATTCTCTCTCTCTCTCTCTCTCTCTCTCTCGCTCGCTCGCTCTCTCTCTGTTTCTTTCTCCTATGTGCTTTTTGTCCTATTTTACTTTTCTTATAGCATATAATCTGCTCTGTTGATGCTTGCTGAAGCCATGCTAATCAATCAAGTCTGTTTAGTAAAGTATCCTTCATTAAATATTACTGATCTTCAATTAACTATTGCCCCTGCCTTTGTTTCATAGTATTTCTTTTTTACCTTAAAATATTCAGGTGGGTTTTTTTTGCTGATAATGAAATCTATTTTTTAAATTTTATTTATTTTTTTATTTTTTAATCACTTTATTAGGGGCTCATACAGCTCTTATCACAATCCATACATGCATCAATTCTGTAAAGCATATTTGTACATTCATTATCCTCATCATTCTCAAAACATTTGCTCTCCACTTAAGCCCCTGACATCAGGTCCTCTTTTTTCCCCTTCCCTCCCCACCTCCCCCTTCCTTAAAAAGGGATCAGTTATCAGGCATCAAAGAACAAAAAATCATATCATTGTGTGCTCACCTCCATGATACAATCACTGAAGACAAATAGGTGCATAAGCAAATTAGGTGAAGAAAGCTGATGGTGCCTGGCTATCAAAAGATATAGCATCTAGAGTCTTAGAAGTTTGAAGGTTAACAAGCGGCCATCTAGCTCAGAAGCAACAATGCCCACATGGAAAAAGCACACCGGCCTGTGTGATCACAAGGTGTCGAAGGGGTCAAGTATCAGGCATCATCAGAACAAAAAATCTTACCATAGCGAATGAGGTGGGGAATGCGGAGTGGAGACCCAAAGCCCATTTGTAGGCCACTAGAGATCTCCTTGCAGAGGTGTCTCGGGGAGGAGACGAGCCAGACAGGGTGCAATGTGGTAATGATGAAAAATACAACTTTCTTCTAGTTCCTAAATGTTTCCTCTGCCCCCCACTATCATGATCCCAATTCTACCTTGCAAGTCTGGCTAGACCAGAGGGTGTACACTGGTATAGATAGGAACTGGAAACACAGGGAATCCAGGGCGGATGATCCCTTCAAGAGCAGTGGTGTGAGTGGCGATACTGTGAGTGTAGAGGGAGAGTGGGTTGGAAAGGGGGAAACAATTACAAGGATCTGCATGTGACCTCTTCCCTGGGGGACGGACAACAGAAAAGTACTTGAAGGGAGACATTGGACAGGGCAAGATATGACAAAATTATAATTTATAAATTATCAAGGGCTCAAAATATTCAGTCTTTACTTAGCTTTTAAAATATTTTTATCTTTATTTGCACTATCATCTTAGTGAGCTTGAAGTTCCTGTAAGGAAGATAGTTTTGCTCACATTGTGAATTGGTGAACAGAGAACCTGCACAGAGGAAGCTTTCAATCAATATTTGTGAAAGAACATAGCTGATGCAATAAAGCAAGAACATAAAAGGATGTGCACTCCTGTTTATATACAATTAAAGTCACAGTGCTTGCAAGTACATAAGAACAATTGCAAAAATCCCCACCTGTGAAGGCAGCTATCTCCCAGCCAACTTCTTGAAAGCCCCTTTAACATCCTTGTTCCTCAGACTGTAGATGATGGGATTCAACATGGAAGTCATAACGGAATAGAACACAGAGATGACCTTATCCTTTTCACTCATTACTTTGGAATTGGGTCGCATGTAGGCAAATATTCCAGAGCCATAGTAGAGAACCACCACAGTAAGATGGGAACCACAGGTGGAGAAGACCTTGAGCCTCCCTTCTCCTGACTTCATCCGCACCACAGTGGAGAGAATGTGCCAGTAGGAGATTAGAATGAGGAAGACAGGAGCGAGGAGGATCACCACACCCATAGAAAAGAGGGCCATTTCAGCCTGATAAGTGTCTGCTGAGGCCAGCTTCAGGAGTGCAGGAGGTTCACAAAAATAATGATTAAGGACATTTGGTCCCCGGTAGGGGAGGCACAGTGTAAATGCACTGTCCACTGAAGACACAAATGCTCCACTGACCCAGGACACTATGGCCAGCTGGACACAAGCCTTCTGAGTCATGATGGTGGAGTAGTGTAGGGGCCTACAGACGGCTACATAGCGGTCATAGGACATCACAGCCAGCAGTGAGCACTCTGTGCACCCTGCCAGTAGGAAGACAACGATCTGGAGGGAGCATCCAGCAAAGGAAATAGCTTTCTTGGTGACAAGGAAATGGACAAGCATCTGAGGAACGATACTTGTAGAGAAACAGAAGTCAGCAAAAGACAAGTTTTTGAGGAAAAAGTACATAGGTGTGTGAAGTCGAGAGTCCGTTTGAATAAGGATAATTATAAGCAGGTTCCCAAACACGGAGAGAAGGTAAATAATCAGGAAAACAAAGAACAAGAAGATCTGGACCTTTGGATCCTGTGAAAGCCCCAGCAAGACGAATTCCGTTACAGAAGTTTGGTTTCCCTTTCCCATTGAGGTACGTTCTTTAAACCTGTCAATACAAAGAGAGCAGATACAGTCGGGATGTTTCACTCACAATGTGTGTCAATAAATACACTGTATGTGCATAATAACTTGTGTAAATAACAAGTATGCCTTATTATATACATAGTGGACCTCAGCTGCTTCCTGTCAGGGCCGTGCACCATTAGGATACATGTTGCTTTCAGCAATTTACAGAGGGTATTTTTCCATCTTCATCCAGTTCTCCAGCATGGGCGTTTGACTAATTTTCATATTAAGGTATTTATATACTTCTAGCGGAATATGTGTTATAGTAGAGGCATTACGTTTGGTTTAATTTCATTGTTTGGCTTTTTTTTTCCTCGAGAAATGCCTTACATTTACCCCCATTGGGGATGTGGAAATTAGGTGTATGGGCTTAGTACCTAAGAACCCCAACAAAAATCTCAAACAATCTTGGTTTCCAATATAAAATTGCCTAATAACTCATTAAAGTCCAGAGTCAATGGCAAATCCAACTATAGTAGAATTTAAAGTACACATAAAGCTTTTTGAAATAAAAAGCTACAGTGTAGTTATTTATTCTTGCATTTTCCCCTCGTAACATTTTTATAAAGACGTCTCAAATAGCAAACACAGCAGTAAGGGAAGAATAGAGGCAGCCACTAACCTTGAACTTCTTAATAGGATAGTAATAGATTGATTATACAGCCTCATGAAACACACAACCTTGGGTCACAGTTCACCTCCACTTGAATTGTGATAAGCAACTCTGACCCATTTTGCACTGCCAACATTCTTCCTTAAGGACCAGATATTTGATATCACGTATACTCTCGGCATTTGGTTCCAGAGCTTTGAAATTATGGCCAAGTAAAAGCACTCAAAAGCAACCTTTAACCAGTGAGGATTATGATTTGATAAGTAGATGTACCAGCTACTTCTTGAAGAAATTCTGTTTGTTGTTAAAAATTGAGCCCTATGGAATTGAACTTCCAGTGTGCACACAGTGGCTTTCGACCTTTTTTCCATACCTATAGGCTGAGGAGCATTTTTGGAATTCCCTCCCCCACATAAACAACCTGTCCATGATATTTTATACCATAGATAGACCTATATGATGTACACTAATCCTTTGTGGGACCATCTATCATTATAAAATCTAAAGCTTGTTTGTTTGTTTGTTTGTTTGTTTGATTCACCGTCTTGCCCCTATTGAGATGACATGGTCCAAAGTCGACTCTTACTTGTCATCTTTCACATTCTTCCTACTTCCTTACTTCCTAGATTCCATTTTCAAATGAATGACCCACCCCTACATTCAATTCTTAGGTTTTGATTTGAGAACCTAGACAAAGACAGTGAGTCGTGTGATTGTCAGCTGCCCTCAGGTCAGCCCCTAACCCATGACCACAGAGCAGGATTTCTCCACGAGATTTCTTGGCTTATCTATTTCTCTAGGTTTTCTACCATCAATGATAGAGCAATTTTCTATTGCGCAATATGTATTTTAATTTGAGGAACTTCTTTTTCTTTCTTATAAATTCACTAAAATGGAAACTGCTAATGATTTGACTCCCATCACTTGAAAGAGATCAGTTTTCAAATAAATATCTGCAGACCGATTCAGTAAACATGTATTTTATACACATATAACCACATAAACAAACTCATATATACTTAGTTATATACTCACACACACTTATACAATCAGGAACAATAAAATATGCATGGATTACAGAAGATTTAATATCTATTAGACTAACCAATGGCTGCCTACAGGATTGGCCAACTAGGAAAATGAGGCATGTTCAGCTATGTTTGGCAATGGGCATGTTTGTTGGAGAAAAGGTTTTTTTATTTTTTCTACCCTGTGCTCCAGAAATTTAAATGATTACAAATTGGATAATTTTCACTAGGCACGGGATGAAAAATGTCAGCTTGGCAAAGAAAATAGAAAGTACTAACTAGTCTTACAGCAACAAAGCCCTTCAAATTGCTAAACTGCTCATATTTTCTAGATACAGACATTTTAAAATGAAAAGATAAGGTTTCCTGGTAATATTAGCTGGCAGGAGATGAAAGAAATAAACAGGGATGAAAAGATAGAATCAGCTAAGGGCAGGGAGTATTGTTGGTATTTGAAGGAGAATTCATTGGTGGGAGGTGATTAGCCTAGAGATTTGGGGGCATCCTGAATGGAGAATATGATGCCTTGCTGGCAACCTGGAACAGGATTTCTGCACTAAGAGGTCTATGAGGGAAGTGTGAAAGGCATGTCAGAGGAGAGACAAGTGGTGCTGTAGAAGAAAGGTCAATTCTCTACAAGTCTTAGAGAACTTAAGAGACAGCCCCTTGGCATACTCTCACCTGATAGGCTATGCTGACACAAACACAGATGGTGGAGTGCTGAGGGGGACCAGAGCTAGGTGCAGGATCATGAGTGAAACCGTGGCAGCCTGAAGATCCAAATCCCACTAGACAATTCTCACAGCATTTTTATCCTAGGAACTCACAACGTTTCTCTATCCTAAACCTATATCAATCAAGGACACAACAAAAATCCTCCAAGGGCCTGAATGGTTTTCTGAAATTAGGTCCTGAGAGTCGACTGTAAACAGGGAATTCCCATGAGTGCTCACTTTGCAAGACATCCTTAAGCCTGTGATATTAAAATTGCAAACACACACTGATACCTCTGTATCTCTGATGATTCAAGCTCCATTAAAAAGAGGCAAAGTATTATTGTTCATAAACAAGAAAAATAATATATAGTTCAAAATCGATGGGTCAATATTTTTACACAATCAGCTCATATTTTCTCTTGCCCTCTTAGTACCTATCTGAACTTTATGAGTAAAAATGCTAAATTCATTAAGAATTTATTTCTTAAGAAAAATTGGATTATGGTATTAGTCATTCTTAGTTCTACTGATTAATGCACATATATTTTAAGGAAAATTGAAATGATATTTCTAACAACTTAATCAATTGCAAACCTTCGGTTGTCCAAAGTCTACAGCAAATCAATTGGGATGGAACTAGTCTATAAATGAAGCATCAGTCATTAAAACAGAACATAGAATATTGTGTGGATTAAAATCAGAAAAGGTGAACATCACGGTTATATATCCTTTATCATACTTATTCAATCTAAACGCTGAGCAAATAATATTATATACTAGACTGTGTGAAGAAGAACACCACATCAGGATTGGCAGAAGACTCATTAACAGCCTGCAATCTACAGATGGCTAGACTTCACTTGATAAAACTCAGAAGACTTAAAGGACTATTGATGAAGATCAAAGACTGAAACTTACAATATGGCTTAGACTCAATGTAAACAACAACAACAACAACAAAAATTCCCAACACCGGACCAATAGATAACATCATGATAAAAGTAAAATAATTGAAGCTGTCAAGGATTTTGTCTTGCTTGGACCCACAATGAGCAATGGGGAAGCAGCAGTCAAGAAATCAAACAACTTCAATCAAAAAAGGAAAATCTACTGCAATAGACCTCTGTAAGTGTTAAGAGCAAGGATGTCATTTTGAGGACTAAACCTGAGCTACACTTGTGAAAGCCAGACAATGAATAAGAAAGACCACAGAAGAAGTGATGCTTTGAATTATAGCATTAACAAAGAATATTAATAGTACCATGCAATTAAAAAAATAATTGTCTTCCTGGAGGAAGTACAACCAGAATGTCCCTTCGAAGTGAGAATGAGAAGACTTTGTCTTATGAACATTTTCTTTTTGCAGTTGTGTTCCATGCAATCAATTCCATAACATGAGAGGTTACAATGAATTAAAACATAAATAGACAAACACATGGTACAATCCAAAACAGGCATTCAAATACGAAGCAAAAGGGAGTGGTCAGTGCACACGCAGTAGCTTGAGATCGGTTGATCTTGGGTAGTGGTTTCAAACGATGAGGGAAAATGACTTTGTTTATCAAATGTACTATGTTCCTATTAGATACCGGAACATCTAATCATCAGTGCATGACCGTGTAAACAAAAGACTCCATGGAGTGTGTAAGTTAAAAAGGTTTCTGTGCATCGAGTCAGTTGTGAAAGATTTCCAGAATCAAGGCCATGCTAGGCTTAGGACCAGGTTCCAACTATCTAAAAATATTTACTGATGCAGGAGGTGTTCCAAATGTGACTATTCTGATTCTTACCATTAAAAAAAATATTTACAGAAAGAGTATAAAAATTGTTGTGAGATTAATGCAAGTTAGCTTCCAGTCTTCAACTCCAGCATTTTGGTTTACATTATTTTTGGCTCCTTCGTATGTTTTTATTTAAAGATTCCCTTTCTTCAACTTTCAGAACAGATGAATTTTTACATTGTAAAAAGTATTTAACCAACACAGACTTAAAGGCAACATTTTGAAATTAATTAAGGTCAATGCATTTCCTACTCTTGGAGTCAGTTTTAGATAAATGAACCTGGTGCTCTTATTGAACGGGAATAGGTGATCAGAAATGCCTATCATTTGACTTTATAATAAGAGAATAGGAAAAATTCACTCAGTAAGCTTGGATTTAGGGTAGAGGCCAATCCCTTGTTGCCTGGCACATGTCAACTACATAAAACGCTGAATGCAATGCCAACTCCCAAACCTCAAAGTATGAGTTCAGGTCCCAAGAGAACAGTGATAGTTCAATAATGTAAAATGTTTATCCAGAGTCTATCAGTATTAAATGAGTACTGCTGAAACAATGCATGGCGAATTTATAGTAACATCTGGAGACACCATCTAATGTACATATAAATAGAACATGTAAGCCTTTAATATTCTCATTGTGTGGCCTTATAAATGTTATGAACAAAAGGACATATGAGCCTCCATTCCACATCCCTTCCTCTCTCTCTAGAAAAGATTAAAAAATTTTGAACCTCCCCTGGTACAATATTAAGTGTCCATATTTCTTTGTCTATATATCAAGAAACCATCTCTTAATTTTTGGATGTTGTCATTTTTCACATGAAACTACAAA